CTTGTGGAAAACAAAGAATTGTGGGGTACAGGGAGGGTTTATGTTTGCCATCTTCCCATATGCCAGAAGTGACTAAACTTTCTCTATTCATGTGACTCAGCAATTTTTTTCACCAGTGCCCACAGGCCAAAAGAAAGCAGTTTTATTTATCAAGTAGCTAGGCCCACACAACAAATATTTATGCCCTAACAACTTTGTGCCTATTTGAAAAATAGTAACTGAACATTGAAAGAAAAATAATATTAAAATTTAATTCCTAAATAACCACAATTACTCACTAAAGGGATATGTGTGCCTATTGGGTACCGTGAAACTCGTCAAACCATGGAATCAGATTGGACACCACCCCCCTCATTTCATGTATTATATCGATTTTCATGTGATACTTGCATTTTTATCACAACCATCCAAATCCCAGTTGCATAAAGACTTATCATGAATGAGAAAGTTCGAGAAGAGACCTGAATAGCCAAAAATACAAGTAAACAAAACCATATCTCAAACATTCAGATAACATCATCAAATAGAATTAATGATTGATGTTGAGATCGTGAACTGACGAACTAGTGATTCCTATGGTGTCATTCAGGTGTTGAGAATCACTGCACAGTAGACAGAGTACTAGGCATGGAGTGCAGAAAACTCATCTTTAGGAGTTCAAAGCTGGCCTCAAACTCGTACTAGCTGTGTGATGCTGGGTAAGTCACTTAATCTTGTTTGCCTTAGTTTCCTTATCTAAAATGAGCTAGAGAAGGAAATGGCAAACTATTCCGTATCTCTGCCGAGAAAACCTGAAATGGGGGCATGAAGAGTTGGAACCAGCTGAAAAGTGACTGAACAAGTCATTGAGATATTGAGTATCACTGTGTTTCCCTTGAAAACATAAAATATCTTGCAAGTGTGCTACTCGTGAATTGTGGCTATACACAAAGGTAACACATGGAAGAGGGATTCTGCTTCCTCAGCTTGCCTTCAGAGGAATGGACATAATAGCAAAACAAATGGGATACTTAAATAAGAAATAACCAAAGAATCTCATAGTTGGAAGGGAGGGACTGCAGAGCCCATCTAGTCCGGTCACTTTTACAACATGGCTGACAAGTGGTCATCCAGGCATCACTTGAAGGCCTCTAGCAAGGTAGAGCCTGAAGTGTCCCAAGGCTGCACATTCCACTTCAGGATATCTTTAATCATTGGGTTGTTTTCCTTTCCTAAAGCCAATCAGAAGAAACAAAATCTCTTCTATATGATATGATGTCTGAAGAGGACATCTATAAATACTCGGACACTAACTGACATTAAGAAAAGTCTCTCTGGAAGATTAAAGTGTAGACTCAACATTAGCCATCATGATGATAAATAAAAGGGAAGATGGATGGTGTGAGGAGAACCACCATTAAAGTCCTAATGCCACGTTTCATCACAGTAGAAAAGGGACATTGGTTCTTATGGATGGTGCCAGGTGAAGGCACGTTCCAATAGTGTTGAAAGGCTTGGGCTGTGGGACCCAAATGGAGTCTACATCTTTGTTCCAAGTGTCAGTTGTGAGAAACTCCTACCAAGGTTGGCCACATCCTGGTGGTATCAACTTATTTTAGGTGCATCTGCTAACAAAGACCATCTGCTAAGGCATAAAATCAAGGTTTCCCTCATACCACGATAAAGCCGGGGCGGGGGGAACACTTCTATGAAAGTACTAGTGTTGCTGTTAGTTCAACACCACTGTTTTTATCATCTTGATTGCCACTTTTCACCTCAGGTATTTAGAATTTTTTTCTGAGAGTATGTGGACCTCTTCTTGAGATAGCATCATTGAAAAGATGTATTAGGTTTATTCTACTTGGCCCCAGAGAGGGGACAGAAAAATATAGACATAATGCCTGAGTTTCACAACAATGAGTAATACACAAGAACTTTCAAGAAAGTGGAGAGATACAAAAACTTTCGAGGAAGTGAATTCCCTGTCACTAGAAGTATACAACGAGAAGTGGAAGAGGGGATATGTGCATTAGTAAGGAGATTGGACAAATGGCCTCTCCTATCTCTTCTAATCTCTACCCAGTATAAATCCCTGGCCTTTTTGATGACTGGGAACAAGATCTTGACTTTTTGCTCTTCTAGCACTTTGTGGAAAGATCATCCTGAAAACCTTTTCTATTTGATTCAGCCACATCACTTTGCTTTGACCTTGGCATCATGTACTGCCTTGGATACACAAAAGGTCAAGTAAATCCATTTATATTAATGAGGATTTCCATAATGGCACAAAAACAATAGCAACTAGAGGAAAGAGTGGAAGGAAGCTTGTTGATTTTATCTGATGAATTAAAATTCAAGTAATCTCCAGACTTCCAAAAATGTCTGTTATTTTAAAAGGAAATAAGTATTCAGCATCCATTGTTTTCATGGTGCCTTATCAAAAAGATATCAATGTGTAACAGTGGTAAGAGTGTTGAATTTAGTCAGGGAGTCTAGACTCAAATCCTGACCTTCCTATATACTTACCTAGGTGACCTTGGGCAAGTTACTTACCTTTTCCAAACCTCAGTTTCCTTATCTGTAAAATAAGGACACTGTGCTAGAAGACGCTCAAGTCCCTTTTAGCTCTAAATTTATGACGCCCTGAATACAGTGGGCTACTACTTCATATGCCTCTGCTCTATACATTTTCTTCAAAACTAGAAGCAGGAATTGACCCCGAACTGGAATGAGCTAGCTTCTGTAACTCACTGAATCTGCCCTCCAAGGTCAATATCCCATCCACAGCATATCACTTGGCACTGTTGGTCTGCAATACTATGTGACGGAGAGAAATCACAAAGCCAGCATCAGCAAATCGGCAACTGCTGTGGACCAAAAAGGTCAGGGGAAATCCCTGCAGTGGAGGCCAGGAATCCAGCGACAGGAGGGGGAAAGTCTGTTTGATCAACATTATGAGTCACCCTTTCTCTGAAACAGAACTCACACCACCCAGCTGGACTAGGTGCACATGGTAATGTATTTATATCAAGGCCATCAAGCATAAGGGCTCATTTCTATTTGTAACTTCACCAGTGAGACCCTGAATAGCACAGGAGAGTTCATTTGTCTCTCAGGATTTCGCTCTGTCTCTCTGTCTCTGTCTCTTTCTGTCTCTCTCACTTTTCAAATGGGGATTTGATTGGGGGAGCAGCTCTTTTCTCCCTCAAACCTCTCTCATTTCATCAAAGTGTCCTTGCAAGATGACCAAGGCTATAACTAAGAAGTATCTGACTAATCCTAATCAAATTTCTAGAAGTTTCTTCCTAGCCATTAGAAACCTCTGTCTGAATGGACCAGCTAACATACTCTGATTAAGTACGCTTCCAAAGTAGTCAGATAGGGCCTGTCAGGGAAACTGAAATGTCACTCTTCTAATACATTTAAGGAAGGAATCTAAAAAAAAAAAACTTAAATATGTCTTTCTACCATCTGAACAAGCATAGCCATTCCCCTCCTAATTCCTTCACATATTGTACAGGGAACTTTGTACTACCATAGTAGTATTTGTTCAGTTGCGTCTGACTCTTTGTGACCTCACTTGGAATTTTCTAGGCAAAGACACTGAAGTGGTTTGTCATTTCCTCCTCCAGCTCATTTTACAGATGAGGAAACTGAGGCAAATAAGGTTAAGTGACTTGCCCAGGGTCACACAACTAGTAAGTGTCTAAGGCTGGATTTGAAATCATGAAGATGAGAAAATCTAATAGCTAGCATTCACCCAATGCTTTAAGTTTTGCAAAGTGTTTTCTGCATGTTATCTAATTTAATCCTCACAAACAGCTGTGGGGGGGGGGATGTTATATCCACATACAGGTGAGGAAATGAAGGCTTAAGAGAGGTTAAATGACTTGACCTGGGCCTTCGCAGCTCAGATGTGTCTGATACAAGATTTGAAATCAGGTTGTCTGGACTCCAAGTCCAACACCATTCCCTGCCTCACTTAGCTTCCTGAAGTAGGAAAAGGCCTCAGTTTCCTCATGCTTTTGGAACTCTACGGATGAAACTTGTTCTTTAAACATGCCATTGCATTCTCCATCTCCATGCCTTTGAACTGACTGTCATCCAAGCGTCGTACAGTCTGACCCCCTCTTGGTTCCACTTAGCATTCTTCAAGTCTCAATGCAAAGACCGCTTTTCTTCAGGAGCCCTTTCTGGGTTCCCTCAGCTGCTAGTGCCTTCCCCTCTCAGATTACCTTCCATCTATTCAGTATACATCTTGTGACTGTCTAGTTACCTGCATGTTGTCTCACCCATTAGAATGTGAATTCTTTGAGGACAGAGACTTTTTTTTGTCTTTCTTTGAATCCTCAGTACTTATCACACTGCCTAGCACACAGTAGGCATCTAATAATTTTTTTCTTAAGTGACTAAAGAGAATTGGTAGAGTAGAAGTTTATGATATATAGGCCCATTGTATCATAAGGCCATGCATTTAGAGTTAGAAGGGACTTTAGACATCATCTAGTCCAAAGCTCTGTTTTTACAAAAAAAAAAAAAAAGACTGAAAGGCTTTGGGAAGAAGAAGAATTCAGTTGTTGGTCATTGATAACACCATCACTAATATTATTGGTGTCCCAGAGAGGATATGACTTGCTCAAGGTCACACTGGAGGCAGCAAAGTAGAATCTGAACCCAGGTTCTCTGACACCAAATCATGAAAAGTAGAAGTTACCTAAATATTGCTACTCTGCAGCCCATTAAACAGGTTTTCAAAGCTCCCAATCCACCACCATTTTGACCAAGCCACACCTCTCAGATGAGCAATTTAGAAGAAAAAGATCATTTAGAAATCCCATGGAGACTGCTGCCTTTTTAAGACCAACTATTTTTAAGACCGAGGAGTAGCATTGTATTTGTGAAGTACTGATGGATTGTATAGAGGTTTTTCTTTTCAAGAGCAAGCCTTCCTCCGAGGCCCCCACGTGGCTAGGTCGATTTTCATTGGAAAGGGCTTCAAGCTGGCTCTAATATTTACTCACTTATGCAGGTGCGTCCATCAGCATGGAGTCTGTATCCCATATCACATTCACAGTAGAAGGAGCCCTCAGTGTTAATGCAGCTCTGCTGGCAGCCTCCGTTCACTACTGCACATTCATCGACATCTAGAGAAGGAAGACAGATGGCCAGGATTACAATGTCGTTTCAATGTCAGCCCCAAAGAAGTGGCACAATATTTCTCGGATACACAGCATGTGTGATCTGCTAGGAAGTCGCTGCCTTTGTGGCCTCCAATCTTGGCTTCTTTGATCTGTTTTGATGTGGGGGTAAACAAGAGATGGATGATAGAGCCACTATCGAGCTCTTTAAAGCTCCTGACAGTGAGAACAAGGGTGGCCTAACAAATTTCTATTCTTCACCTTCTCAGTAATTAGACAGGTCCTTGATATAGATGTGTCCTCCGGGGGAAGGAAAAGTGGAGGAAAGAATTACAAGAAACTAATCTATCTGAGCTGGCACACAGCAGTAGATAAACACCAGGCGCTGGTCAAATCCTGTGAATAAAGACAAGAAACAACATTGTGACCTTGAGGCATCTCTCATGGGCTGCTGTGGCTACCAAGGCAGGGAGAGTGAGAAATCAGAGTAAAGTTAAGATTTGGTAACTATAACAAGAAACCAATGATTTTTTTTAATCTGTGGTATAGTTTTTAGAGTTATCATCTCTGATGCATTTCCCTTTGCTATTTCCTTTATCGATAGAGACTACCTAATCACAAGAATTTTTAGTAGCTTAAAGGGAACTTGAAGGTCATCTAATCAAATTCCCTCACCCCAGGGATAAGGACACTGCAGCCCTGACAAGCTTTGTGTCTTGCTCAAGGTCACGTGAGCAGCCAGTGGCAGAGAGACAATTTGAATATGACCCAAAGTCCAGAGACTTTTCTTTCCACTGTAATACACTGGCCTCATAAATGTGCTGCAGTTTGGCACAGAGGAAATAGCACTGGCTCTGGAGCTGGGGGTGATGGTGGTGGGGACGTGACTTTCAACCCCATCTCTGATGCTCGCTACCTGCACCATCTCTGGCAAGTCATTTAATCACTTTGGGACTCACTTTTCTCATTTGTAAAAAGGATGCCCTCTGAGGTCTCTCCCAGCTTTAGACCTTTCAGGTTAAGAAGAATTCAATTACTAATCACCAAAGATCAGCAAGAGATCCAAATTAATAATGACAATAATATTAATGGTAGGTATTTCTTTAAAGTTCACAAAGATCTTTGTATCTATCCATCCACTCATTCAATCAATCAATAGCATTAAATATGCACTTAGGTATCTAACATTGAAGGGATGCAAATGCAAAAATGAAACATTTCCTGGCCCTAAAGAGTTTACATTCTCTAGGGAGAGATCATATGGGCACATGTTAGTATATACAAAATAAATACATCATTTCATTTGAAAAACACAGTACTGTGAATCTGGCACCATTGGTATTATGTGGACCAAAGATATGAGTGGAGAAACAAATAGCTAATGTTTGTAGAGCTCGTTAAGGTTTGCAAAATGCTTTACATATGACCTCATTGGACTCTTGCAACAACCCTTTGAGATAGGTGCTATTTTTACAGATGAGGAAATTGATGCAAAGGGAGATTTAAGGACTTGGCCATATAGTCAATCGTATGAGAAGGAATTTGAACTTGGGTCTCCCTAACTCCAGATCCAGTGTTCTATGTCACCCCTAACTAGCTAGTAATACAGGTGGCTGTAAGTCTGGAATACAACAGGCACATAATAGATCTTTTGAATGAATGAATGAATATTAGGAGTGGTAGACACAATAATTGCTAGAAGAGATTAGGGGAGGGAGGGATCACTTTGGGCTGGTGGTGATTAAGCATGGCTACACTGGGAAGTTAGATAATAACTTGGGCTTTGAAAGATGACTCATATTCAGATGGTCAGGAAAAAGGAATGATGTCATTATAAGTCATTTTGGGTGGTTGTAGAAATGGCATGAGGGTGGGAATGAGAGAAAACAAACAAAAACCAGGGAAAGTTCAAATATATTTAGAGACACTGTGCAGACTTGTCTAGGGACATGAGAGACAAAAAGAATTTGGGAATATTTTGGCTAATCACTCTGGACACTCCCTTCTTCCTAACCACTAATCCACTAACCTAATAATTGCCAAGTCTCCTTTCTACTTCCAAAACATTTCTTGTATCTATCTCCTTTGCTGTATTCACATGGTCAGTACTTGACTTCAGGCCCCTATCTCCTCTTGCCTGTAGCCTTCTAATTGGTCTTCCTATTTCTTTCCTTCCTCCTTTTCATCCTTCACGTAGCTGCCCAAACATTCTTCCTAAGGCACAGGTCTGACTAGCCAATCCCATCCCTTAGAAATATTCAAGGTCTTCCTCTTGGCTTTGGGATACAGCAGAACACTCCTGCATGGTTTGCTCATTGTTTTGGCCAAACTTCCCTGTGGCTGTTCTCTGAACTTGGCATTTTTCTCCCAGTCTGGTACCTTGGCACAGGTTGGCATGCTATGCTTCCTTCTTCACCTCTGCCTTTGAGAATCTCTTACTTAATCTCACGTACCACCTTCTTCTAGAACCTTTCCTGAGGCCCGCTCCCCAACATAGTCAATGCTTCCATCATCAAATTGTTTCACATTTGTTTACTTGTGAACATGCTGGATGCTGCCTCCCCAAGGAGCATTTAAGCTCTGCAAGGGCAAGGGCTATTTTATTTTTGTCTATGGACACCCACCCATAGATAACAGGCATTTACTTTTTGAGCTATTCAGTCATATGTAAACTTCTATTTTTAATTATTTCTGCAAAGTTAGAATTTAAGGTGTTTTCACCACTAGGGGGGCAAATGTATTATCTTGCATAGTGTAGTAGTAGAGTTTTAGTTCTGTTGTGTGACTATTGAAAAGTCACTTACCCCCGAGCACCCTTAGGCAACTCTAGGAGAGAAGAAATTGCTAATTTGCATGTTGGCATCAGTGGAGGGAGTTCTCACACAGGGAAGTCCTCTGAAAGATGAAATCACATGTATGTGTGTGCATGCCCACATACACTGAACACAAACATTCATTCCTCTGATTTCATCCCAGGGAGAAAATTCCCTGACTTAATGAAGATTGGAAACTTCTCTGCAATTCATAGTTTCTGTGAGTCCCTTGGGACACTAAGAAATTAAGTGACTTATCCAAAAGGATATAAACAGAATATGTCAGAGGCAGGACCTGAATTCACAGCTCAACTGACTCCAAATCTGGGTCTCTAGCCCATGTGTCATGTAGCTCCCTTTGTCCTTTTTCACTCACCCATGGCATCTCTTTCTCTTAGGCAATTAGGTGACTCAGTGAATGGAGGGCAGTACTTGGAGTCAGAAAGACACTTGCTAGCCGAGTGACCCTGGGCAAGTCATTAAACTGCTTTTTACCTCAGTTTTCACATTTGTAAAAATGAGGATAATTATAGCACCTTCGTCTCAGTGTTATTGTGAGGATAAAACAATATTTGTTAAGCACTTTGCAAACCTTAAAGTGTTACATCAGCTGCTATTATATTCATTTATATAATATATACACAATTGTATTATATAATTATATGAACATATATAAATATTATATATAAAGTTATACATATTGTTGGGCAGGTGAAGACATACCAGGCACCATTTAAACAATAGTACAACAGCAAAAGAAAAAACAAACACAAAATTAAATTAATTTGAATTCAATCAATCTAACGGTTGGTTGGTTGAAGCAAGCAGAAATGATTGCTTTAAGAAGCTTTCCCTTTTTTCCCACCGAATTGAGTCCCCCCCATCATTTCATCATTGTGTAGGCACTCTTAGCACTGCTTATAGAGCCTTCATGCTCTGGCAAATGATAAAGACTGTGGCAACAAATGCAACGGGTTTGAATGGATCTGCCTAGCCTATCTAGGACACTGAGCCCCTGTTTCCTCTAGGACAGGTCTGCCCAAAGTGTTTAAGAAAACAAGTAACTAAGACGAAAGCACTGGAGAAATCCATTTGGGGAAGGATTTCAGAAAATTCAGCATGCAAACTCACATGTGCTCTAGAACTCCATCAACTTTCACTTAGCTCTATTTCTCCACAAATGTCAACAAGGAAATGAAAATAAGAGACTTTGAGGGAATGAGCTATGATAGGAAATTACCTCATTCTTTAAGAAATGAAGAGAACATTGATCCTTCTCTAACAGAATCTTCCCTATGGAGGGGTGAAGCAGGTTCAATCGCTGTGATGTTAGACACTCATTTAGATGCTCTATATTTATCTATATTTATATCTAGATCTAGATCCATATCTATATGTACAGACGTATTTCTTTTTTCCATCACAATTCTGCCCAACTGAGCTAAGAACAAGAAATATCAATATTACATAAAGTATTAGTATAAAAATGTTCCATGGGAGGAAACCTGCAAAATTTGGGGAAAATTTTGGGAAAAAACTGGAAAAAATTTTGGAATCCCAAAATTTTTCTGTACTTCCATGGGAGATGCACAGAAAAAATTCCTGTTCTCAGCACTGTGGCAAACAGACACCGCTATGAGCAAAGATAAAATAATTAGGATCCGCCCAACTTTCCCCCCTCTCTGCCCCCTCCCCACATTATCCTGGGTAGTATCGGGCAGGCCCAACAACGCTGGCATTTTTTTTTCCTTTTCTTCCCCTCAAACGCTTTTGCTCTATTTATCCTGGCTACTCTCCCCCAGATGGTCATGGAGCATAATAGTTTAAGAGAATGCAAATTATCATCTACATACTTTGCACATGAATGCCCACTGAGACAACAATGAGTGCACTCCAGCTTCCAAACCACCTGAATTGCTAGTTATTATTTTTGCTTAGATTGTGTGACCATTTACCTGTGGAACTTGAGTCAGATAAATTATTCTTTTTTTTTTTTAATGCCCTGTCTTCATCAACTCCTTGCCTGAAAAGAAGGGATTTGGATAGCAGTCCTTGGGTGCTTCCCTTTGATCACGGGCCTGCACATATCTCAGGGAAGGCTATAGAGACTGGGGAGGTCCTCTCAACCACGGGGTTTGAAGAACATTTTCAAAGGGGCAGAAAAGGTCACTTTAGATTCCACTGTTGACTCAC